ACCTCATTAAAGGTACCCACTTATTAACAGCTTAACCCAAGGTTACTTTCCCCCTGTTGGCATGTGGCTACCACACTTTCCACATCGTACTTCTTACCCCTTACGCTCCACACCTTTATCGTCTCCTACATAGATGTCTTGATACCGCCTCACCCCTTTTTCCCTCCCCCCATTTCTCTTTCTAATCTGTCTGTCTGTCTGTCTCTCTCTCTATCTCACTCTCTCTCACCATACCTCGTCCCCAGTCCCATGCGCCACAGCCCTATCGTTCCGTCGCCCTCTAAAGTTTCTTCCTTCCTGTCTCTTTCGTCTGTTTCTATTCCTTCCCTTATGCCCGCGGATGAATACCGTAGTCACTAGTTTTACGCTTTTCGCATTACAGATATTTTTCGAGTCTTCTGTGCCGATCATACATACACTACAGTAGCTTTGCCTTATAACGCCACAGCGCAGACCATTATTAACGCCGCAGAGGAGCGTGTTCTGCTAGGCGATGACTGTATCCTGTGCGAGGTCAAATCTTCTGGAGGTAGGTGCTTCCTTTTACTGGTGTTGCCGATGAAGTGCAAAAATATGGGCCTTCTTTTTGTATAACCGTGTCAGAGAACGTTGTAACCGTCTTATTAGCAAAAAATGAAAAGTTGAGAAAAGAAGCAAAAAACCTTAACCCAAAAATTTAAGGTGTTCCCGGACACTGATGAACGCTTTAAAAATCGACCATCGATTATTTCGCTCACGTTTGATCTAGGTGTGTTACGTGGCTGAAAACGCCCCCGCTAAACTGTGATATATTAGGCGATATTCCCTAAGGGGTATTCCGCAATAATCTTTTTATACCAAATGCAATGAAAGTTTTCGTTTCGTATGTTTTAAAGTAATTACTTCCTTTACCTTTTGTAGAACGCGTACCTTTCAAACCAAACGAAATATGTGTCACAACCGGACTAAGTGTTAACGGAAGATTGTTTATTGCGCCACGGGAACACTTGGACTCACTGGTAAGGATAAAGCTGAATTCTTACGAGCCTTATCGCTTATTGTAATTACTACCCGAGATTAATCTGGTTTTCTGAAAAATAAGCACCCAGACCAAGATTATTGCTATGGCTTCTACCAAACAGAATGCTAGTATATAGCAAGGTACCCCCACAAATTCATCAATTCTTTTTCTTTGGCAACAAAAGTTTACTAGTACCCATTAATGCGCTTGGTTGTAGAGAGGCACTGGGAGAATAACACGTTTTGCCCAACAACACAACACAATAACCTAGTCGGGAATTGAACCCGGACATGGCGACCCAGTGTCAAAGGTGCCAAACCCTAGGTCTTCGCGTTTCTGACTGGTCAGCGCTACAGACCCCGAAAAGGGAGGTGAAAACAGTTTCTATATGAAGCTTCTATTAAGACCTACTTCAACTATTGCTGAGATATCCATACGAATAATGCTCTTTTTATCTACCCCAGACTCCTACTCCTGAGCAGGAAGGACCGTCAACCAGTAACCTCACATTTCTTGAGTCAGTTGGATCCAAAGAGCTTGCGTATTACATCACACAGTATGACTATGAGCTGTTCAACGCCGTTAACATTGTGAGTATCTCAAGTTTTGTCTGACAAGTTGAGATTGCGGAGTTGCTTGCGTTTAAACATTGCGGATTAACACCCATCTGTAAATTGTTACAATTTCATTAAATTTCCTCATCTGTAAGAACCCCTTTGACTTTATTTGCAGCATGAATATATATTCCGCATCTTTGGCAAAGAGAGCCACAAACAGATCACAGCAAATCTTGATTTGCTTCTCAGAAGATTCAATGAGGTGAAAAATTTCTTTACGCTTTTCGTACGGTATTATGAGTGTATTTCTTTACTTGATTGTATTCTGATTGGCTCGAAGGTAAAATCCGGCTTGAGTGTCATTATTTCATCTTTTCATCTTTTAGGTCCAGCTTTGGGTCGAAACACAGATTCTCCTCACTCAACATCTCAACAAGCGGGTTTATCTGTTGAAAAAGTTCATCAAGTTGGCCGCACAGTAAGTGATTCCTCAAAGAAAATTTCAATTGAATGTCGAAGGTCATCTGAGATTGCGTTGATTTTTACTTTAATTCACCTTGTGATTGGTCGAGAAAATTAGCATTCCCTCCCAACCAATCAGATGCAAGACTAAAATCAACTGCGACTTGGTCACCCGAATTTTCCCGCGCTTCTGGTCGCTCGTTTTAACTTGGACTTATGATTGGGCCCTTGTGTAATTTTCCACACTTTGATTGGCTGTTTTGGTTACTTTAGTTTTTGTTTGACGACAGCCTATCGAAATAAATCTGATTCGTCAATAAAACTCGCTGTCATGACTTACTTTTTATCTATCGCCTTGCTTTTGTAGCTGTAAAGAGTACAACAATTGGTATTCGTTTTTCGCCGTTGTTATGGCATTAAACAGTGTTGCAGTCAGTCGCTTGTCTCAGACATGGGAGGTAAGTGGGAAATGGTTGCTTACATGGGTTGGGTTCATTTTCTCGCGGAAAAAAATTTGACTCTTATGATTTTATATGTAAATATGTTAAACGTTTAATATGTTTGAGCTCAAACATTGCAAGAAAAAGATATCGCGAAATTAAGTCTTTTGTTAACAATGGTCCCCTCTGGAAACATTTGCTGAATTTTTTTTTTTAAACTATACCTTCTTTTATTGTGTCGTCAGAAATTACCGAGCAAGTTTCGTAAAATATATGAAGAGTTTGAAGGTATCTTGGTAAGGACATTTCATTTCATTACTCCTTTATACAAATTTATTTTAACTTTATATGTTGAAAAAGCACCATTTATTAGTTGTGGGTCATTTAGTAGTCAAGTAAAACAATTAATTGCTTCAACCGTCAAAGCTGAATAGAACACATGAATATGTTTCTTTTAAAGGAGCCTTCGAGAAACCATCGAGTTTACAGGCTTTTAGCTGGTGAGTTTCTAATTAATTGTGCAACTTTTTACACTGCAACAGGGGGGGGGGGGTTACATTGTGTCAGACAGAGGGTACTCACCAGATTGTCATGATGTCGAACTCCACGCTATGTTTTACTCAATATGGAAAAAAAAGGCTTACAAAGGGGGTAGGGGGTTAACGTGCACCCCACTAGCTACGCGTTTGAATAGGCAAAGGTATAACGTTAAGTTTGCACTCCCGCCTCCTCCCGACCTCCCGCGTTTAGCGTGCAAACCGCCAGGCCGCCTCGTTTCTCAATACAGTGAGGTGCTAAAATTTTATTCAATTATTTTGGTAGGAAAAATGAAGCCACCCATATTGCCTTTTATGCCTCTTCTGATAAAAGGTATGTTTGTTTACAAAATTGAACTTTATTTCATTAACGTTCAGTTTTCTAGTTTTAAAAAAAGCTTCACTTTGCTCATTTGTTTGTCTGTTATGTACTTGAATACGTGATAGTCACAAATCGAATATTGAAAAAACAAAGTTAGGGATTTGTTTTTATTTCTAGACATGACGTTCACTAACGTAGGAAATAAAACGCAATTTGATGATCTGGTGAACTTTGAGAAAATGGTGAGCAGCTATTTTTGTTATTGCTTTTTTTTTCCTTTTCTTTTCTAGTCCATGGATGTGGGGTTAAATGTGTCGCATTATTCTTGTTGTCAAATCAACAAAAGATTCCACGTTACCTGCGTCTGTTCCGTAATACATCACCTGAGACGCAAAATAAGGTGAGAACAAAACAGAGGCACTCAAGGCGCAGCCGAGTGTGTCACTGATGTTCTTAGCATATTTTGACGTCTTTGAACAGACTCGTGGCAACCTGGAATCTATTTGTTTCAATTAATCAAGAAGTTACATGCACAGTTGTTCATGGTGACGTCATTTATGCGTCTATCCTTCTATAGATGATAAGTAAGAACCAATAAGATTACACGTAGAATTCAGTTTAGAATTTAAACGTAGATGTCAATTATTATTTTTATTTCAGAGAATGATCTCTTCTACTATTCGTCTTATCCAGTACTGTCGCAGCGAGCCGTTCAGTAAGTACACCTTGAATCGAGATAAGGAACTGACTAAATTGGTCATGGGGGCACTAAACTGTGAAACTAATCAGAACATAGGAAAGACGAATGATAAAAAATGAATGGACCAATCAGAGTGCATGACTCACAGACAAGATAGCTATGCAACTGGTCGCGCTGAGGGTGTCACGCATTCTGTAGATTTCGCGGCATAATTTGTCCCATTTCTATTGACTATAACTTAAGTTCGATAACAGCAAATTGAATTTTAGTTTTGTGGCACTTATAGGGGAAACTTTCCTTTGAACGACCACACCCTTGGTCCTGACTGACTTCACAAATAAATATTGATGACGACGGTCACGCAAGGTCTGTTCGTGATCTCATCTCTCGTGAATTTATGAAATGGTCGTGTTTATTTTTCTTTACTTAGAGGCTGAACCTCCAACTCAAGTGAAAATAGCTCAGGAAATCACTATTTTTGTGAGGTATGATTGATGTGTCACATGATAAACTTTCCAGACAATGGAATAGATTTAAACCGCACGTGAAACACACAACCTTTTTTAAAAGCTCAAAGCCCAAAGTCTTGTTATCTTTAAGCTCGAAAGAGTGTTAAGTTTTCCTTTTTCCTTCTTTTTTATCCTTTTACATCATATTTCGATTAACCTTTCGTTTGGATCTCACGCCGTAATCCTCTCTTTCCACAGGAATTTTAACGTTATAGACAACGAGCGCATTCTTAACCAGTTCTCTCACAGATTGGAGCCCAAAAAAAACTAAGTAATCCTTGTTGATCATTTAACGATGCCTTCAACAAATTCCTCGACCAATCAAGTTTGACAGCGGTATGTGTGGACAGTGGTTCATCAGCTTGGTGACAACAATTCGATATAGTTTGTCCTTACGTGTCAACAGAGAGAGCAATGTGGCAAATTTATGCAATTGACTGTCTTTTCTGGTAAATTTCACATTTTCTTTTTAAACTCCTTTTTTTAATATTGGTGTTAAGGGTCGCGTACAGATAATTCAAACACTGATAGATAAATTTCTGACGCCCTTTCGAATTGAAAATGATCAGAACATTTTAAAAGTTTCATGATATTTTAACCTCAGAAATAAATAAATTTATTACTACTGTTAACAGTTGTTTATTTGTTATATGGCCTTCTCAAGAAGTCCTTACACTGGCAAAATAACCAGCGACTCGCCATTGGATTCCTCGATTACGAATGCGTGTTGTGTATATGCCAAATATCCCGGATTATCCGGGACTCTTCCGCATACACAAAGAACCATTTCGACTCTTAAACGACTAGCTTAATTTCCCTGATAGAAGTGACTTTAAACACTTCTTCTATAAAGGAGGTGTCTTTTAGTAATTTTAATCTGTATCTAAATATTTGGGTTTTTCTGTTGAAGAATGGTTGTATTTTTGTGATGTTTTTCTCAAGTGGATCCTGGCAGCATCTTCGTTTTTTGCGCAGAAGCTGGAAGTGGAGGGAAGGAGGATTGGGGAGAGAGGACTGAACGAAAATATTTCCCCTTAGGCCCTTTGCAACATGAAGTTGAATTTATCATTAAAATTTTCCATGATTTACATCAATGATTTATAAATTACGGGGCACGTGCTAGCTAAAACAAAAAATTGGGTTTAAATCTCAGAAATTTCACTACGGAATCTTTATCGCTGGATCTCCTATACTCTTTACAAGTAAGTAACTCACCTGAACTACCATCAGTAGAGTCTTACTGCACCATACGTACACCTTCATTTTGGCATTTTTTGTTATTTCCATTACTAATGAATGGGTAAATTGTGAACATACAGTGTGGTGCCTTGAAAGATATAAATTATCTCACAGAAATAATGACATTACATTTTTGCACTCTTTTCTACTGGAACTATTCCAATTTAAAACGATATCTTTAATATCTGGTATAAGAAAAATCAGAATGTAAAGCTCTCTGAGCTGAATAAGTAGCCAGTAGCCTTAAATTTAGATAACTCAGTCTTTGACTCTTACTTTGCTATTCAACCGGGAGAACAAAGCAAGTGCGGTTTTACGGTAAACGTTATCTATCAATTATTAATTAAATACAAATGGGAAAACATTAAAATTCAGCTGAAAAATAAAATAGGTGAGGGAATTATTCAGGCACTGAAATTTTTAAGGGATATTTAGCAGTCTAACAAGCATCAACGAAACAAGGCTCGCAGAGGTAAGTGAATACAAAATTAAATAGAAGAGAAACGTGGTGATTGACTTGCCACATCTCACGTCAGGATTTCTTGGTTGCCTATTGAATTTGCGACAGGCGGGCCTCTAAAGAATTTCGTAAAATTAATAGCAAATGTACATTTATGTTTTCTAACGTAGAAAATCATGAAATTTATTAGAAAAAACCGTCTTTGTCATGGATAGACATAGAATATAACATTTGAATCAAAGGTGAGAATATGGTATTGCATGACTAAATGTGGATAAAAGTATATTTTTTAAGCAAATGGACGCGAGAGAAACTGATTTTTCTGGGACTATGATGTGGTGAAAAACGTCCTGGAAAGTTACCGAATATGATAGAGATGTTCGAGTGCTTAAACGGAGAGAGAAAAGGGAGTTTTAAGATTGTCATCTTTTAAGGCACGAGACAATTTTGAAAAAATACTGGTTAATTTTTAAATTTATTTAAATTAAAATGTTTAATTCTAAAAACATAAGTTAATCTTAACGAATGCTAATACTGGAGTACATGCGCAAATACTGTTTTTTGGAAAAGGTTTCGGTCTCACCCAGGCATGTCCAATCGTCTGTCTCCCTATGAAACACACAGTTAATTTTCAATAATCGACTATCACAATGGGAGACAAGCACCGGAGAATATTTTATCGAGATGATTTTCCAGACTCTGTTAGAGAATCACGGAGCTATGCTTTAAGGAATAAAATCGTTTTTTCATTTCCTCAATTTATAAGTACCGCAGCCATGACTCACACGATCTACCTGGGGTTCCTGTGCATCTCTTTAGTGTTGGTGGTACTGTGCGAAACTTCTGCCAAAAAAAGCATCCGTGAAGAAACACAAAAGGAAAAAAAAGTACATTTGAAGGACATATTTAGTGGCAGGATGAAAAGGTATGAAATACTGTGGAGCCGAGTTTTAAAAATAATCAAGAGAGTAAATATAGGTAATAAAGATCAATTTTAAAAAAATCAAATAAACCTTATAATAATAATAGTGCGGACATGGCAAGACCCTGGGTTGCTTTTTCTAACCCGAGTTGAATCCCCACAATGGGTCTGAATCCTTTTGCAGTTAAATAGGCCGGGTAACAACCCCTTCCCCTCACCCCCAGAAGAGTTTAAGATCTGCAAAATGACGATGAAATAATTATGTTCGTTGTTCTTTCAGACAGTTAGAAGAGCTTTGTCAACAGTCACCTGCAGGTTGTATCATGCAGTCTGAATTTTCCGAGGATAGTACGCAAAATGGAAAGAGAAAGAGAAAGAAGAGCAAGAAGGAAAAAAAACATGGAAGCAGAGGGAGAAAAAACAAAAGGAAGATGTCAACTTCGAGCGAAATAAACCAAGAGACGGATGAAACCTGTCCTTATGTGGATCCACCGACAGACGATGAAGATTATGAAGAGGATGACGGCAGCGAGTGTCTGAAAACTCAACAAATAATTGGCGATTAAAACGA